TAAAAAGGAATATTTTTATAGGCTTTGAGAACCTTCAACAATGTTCTGCAAATATACGATGAAAAGAGTCTGTTACTCTCCGTTGGGACGCTATACTTGTATAGAGTTATGTTATCTTTGCAAATGCTGTATCTTTTGAAGATTACAAAACTAATTATACCCTCTTTCTCAGTTTCTGGACGGGATAAACTTAAAAGAAATTGGCTGACTTAGAATCGGTCAGTTTACTGGCAAACCGCTTTAAGTATTATAACTTCACTAGCAACAGCTCAGATAAATTTGCTGCACATGCATGTGTAGAGAAATGTAATCTGTCTAAATTGAAATATTATATTTAAAATTGTTAAATGTTCTGTGATAAAAAGAAATATTTTAACTTTTTTTTTTTTTTTTTTTTTTTTTTTTCAATAAAATGACTGAATTTATAAGTCATTTTTCTCCTTCCTTTCTGAATGCCTTTGTGCTGTAACGTTAGCACAAACGACGCGTATTCGAGAGGTCCAGGTACCTACCGGAGAGGCCATTGCTCATTTTTCAAGTTTCCAGCATCAAAATAAAATAATGATTCTACAGTGGCACCCGAACTAAAAGGTTGTGGGTGATGATTCTTCACCAGCAATATTTGGCAATTGAGTCCCCTAATCTCTAGTCGCCCTGTAAAAGTAGGTGTATGTAAGATATTTTATACCTCCTTTTTTGCTTGCCTTCGTTGTGTAATGGTAGCAAACTAGGCGCGTATTCGAGATGGCCAGATTCTAGTTCCGGCGAGGGCATTATTAATTTTTCATCTCTGTAGCTAATAACTATACAGTTTAACTGAATTTAGTATTCCATACCCTTTTTAATTTGCTGATTTAGTTCGATATTTTCTTCTAGCTTTCTGCTTGAAACTACACACATGTCCATAAATAAGGATAATGCAAAACAGGCAAAGGAAGAGTTAGAGCAAAACAAATTTGACTATTTGTAAATCTTATTTATTAAACAAAAGCTAAAGAGCAAAATAAGATGCTTTATGTTTGACATTATTAAAAAAAATTAGCGATTTTTTCTCCCTTGAGCAAATTACAAATAAAACCTATTTACAAAAAAATACAATATTACGTGGTTGGTATGATTGTTAATACATTGCATGTCTTCCAGACGATGCAATACAGTCCGTACAACGCCTCAAAAAATCAAAAATCTCTAAGAAATCTCGATACTTCCATAAATCTTCAGGAGACAAACATTATCGGGCGCGTGGTACAGTCTGCTTATCATAAAAAAAACTCTCGCCAGTTAGTCTACAGCTGTCTGTTGACATAGAAACGGGCCTTGACCCATTTTTCGTAGGGGTGTCTTGATGACGAATAATAACTCTTTTCCCTTCAGCCAACTTTTACGAAAAACAAAATAACAATAAAGCAACCCTTGGCTCGCCCTATTTGAAATATACTGGATCTGTTGCTATAGCGACAGCCAACCGCCAGACACTGTGGCGGGGCTGTTCTTCTCATAGACAGACACTATCTGACAGATTCAAATTTTCAAATAAGCTTAAAAACAGGAAATACACCTACACTGGACTGGTCATTACTGTATTCTAAAGGAGGTGTGGCAGTTCAAAAAATCTCGAAGGAGAAGAAGTAAAGGTTCCCTAAGACAAATGTGGCTCCGTCAGACGGAAGACACACATTATGTATATCCCTGAAGGTTATTTTAAAGGGGTAATCCACCCACCTTCCATATCTTACTGAGCATGCGCGAAATAACATCAGGAAACAACAAACCGGCATCTTTTACCGCGTTGTTCGAAAAGGTTCTTTGTTGTTGTAGTCAAAAGTACTTGTAGTATCTAGTTATGTGAAATTCTTTAAAAGATTTTTTTAATGTAATTTTTGTAATGCCGTAAGTAAAATTGTTTTATCTAGGGTGCAAACATTTCTCTTGTTTCAAATGGTCATTCAATAATTGGTCTAAAAGTTTTCTCGGATTTTTTTAAGTTTGGTCGGATAATATAATGCATTTCACGTTTTCAATTTATTTGAGGTGCTTTAATTGTCTTTATGTAAGTTTTCTTTTCAGTTAGTTATACGCAAATTTTGCTTGTAACATTTTCACGTAAAATTTTAACTATGGAATTCATAAAAATTTTACGTATTGCATGACATGTTCCCCCTTTTTAAGTTTACAGAATTAATGTACTCATTTGTTCGAATAATTCTGGATTAAATAGATTTTTGAAAATAAATTATGAAATCCAAGCCACTGCAATTTTACAATTATTAGTTGTATGGCGAAGGTGAGAAGAGTCATTTTTTTAATTTTTATTTTGAAATACCATAAGTTGATTTTCAAGTTAAGTATTTAATCTTATATTAATATGTAAGAAGTATTGAATTTTATGAAAAAAAATGAAATCAGTTATTTTAATAATTTGTGAATTCTTTAACAGACCTTGTAAGTGTAATTTTGTTTTGTTAATTATTTGAAATGTTTTGGCTTTGGCTGCAAACATTGCTCATGTTTTCATATTGGTCCATTCCGAAAATTTTTCGGTATTTGTGAAGAGGCTTAAATTTTATTTATTTATTTTTAATATTGAAACTGAGAAACGTCAATAAATACATTGCTTTACATAAAATGTGGTATTTTTAATTTAATATTCATAATATGCTTGATATGAAAAGAATACAAAATCACGTTATTTATGTAATTAATTGCAGATTTGTTAGAATTAACATCAAGCGTAGTTATTTTGTTTCTATTACTTTGATGTTAGTTATAAATTATGCGGATTTTATCAAATGAAAAACAATTATGTAGATTTAGAAAGAAGTGTGAAGGAGGAAATAAGGAATATAAAAATAATAAAATATTTATTTATTCATTTTTTTATTATTTTTTTGCAATTAACTTTAGATGTTCCATGCGAAAATCTACACATTAAAATAAGAAGATAAATGATCAACTGCAAAATTATTCTAAACAAAAGTCTCTGAATACTAATAAGTATTAAGAAATTTATTTCATTAAATTTTCTTCATATGGCTCGCTATTTAAATTGAATTAAAAAATGGCTAGGAATTCTGCAATTCGCCAAATTCCAAAAATCTTTGCCTCATAAAACTCAAGAATGTATGAAATAAAACATTTTGGAGTTATTTCAAAGTAAAAAATTTACTGCCTACCCGGACTAAGCTTTTAAATTAAACCCTGCCACTGTGTTCACTGCATAGTAGGCTCTTCGTATAGCGGCGTAGAGGCAAAACGTTACATGCGTCTCTATGAACTTTTATTCTTCTCCTACGACTCTTTCGGCCAGATGGACAGATACTGATAAGTTCTAGGTCGTGAGAAGAAGAGGACAAAAACAGAGATTATGACACGCCTGTATCTGTCAGATAAACGCGCCCTAGATTCCAATTTATGAAACATAAATTATTTATTTTTATGCTTGTCTTGCAATATTTGAAACAGGAATCGTAAAAATGAAATGGGTATTTCAAATTATTATAGCGTTTGCTTAGTATATTTCTCGAAGTAATGTAATTTTAATTAGCGGTCACTTATATATCGGAAGAAATGAGTATTTCTGTCTAAACCAAACTTATGTCAATTTCATTCAACCCTTTCTTGCAATTACGTAATTTTATTCTGATGTAATGGAATTAATTTATTGGATGTAACTGATTGTCCATTTATTGCGATGTAACGGATAATTGATTTATTCCAATGAATTTTATTATGTAATGTACTGTAGTAGATTTCATTATGGGTTCAAGATTTAATTGTATTGAATTTTATTGTGATGTAATACCTCCTTAAATTTTATCAGCTCATTATAATATTATTCCTTAAAAGTCATTAAAATCTTTTATTAAACATTTAAAAAGTATTACTGAAGTTTTTTAATGTTATTCTGTACAGTTTCATAAACAAGTATCAAAATTTACCAAACATGTTACGCGTAACTGTTTTATGCCATTGCTTCGCTTAATAGATGGGGAATTTACTTTCACTGTATAAAAATATGCAAATTTCTGCTTCTATTTATGACACGTGAAGGAAGGAAAGTAACTAGTGTTTCAAATTCTAAATTTCAATGATTGTAGGAGCAGATGAACAACGTTAGCATATGTTTAACATGAAACATATCACTGAGAAAATATATGATGGATTGTGAGAAACGGTGGGTGATTAAAAGAGTTGAAGGGAAACTGACATTGATATTGGTCATGTTAAAAGTAACGAAACCCTCACGCCAAAAATCTAGAAGTAATTTAAAAACACTAATGGGATATGCAACAGACAATATTTTAAGTGACTTTACTGTAGCAAACACTACTCGGATATCCACATACTGTGAGTCACATAAAAGAGGGTTTTATGCAACGAAACCCGTGATTTCTATACCATTACACCTTGCTGCGAAATTCATCCGAATACAGTGATGCAGTTAACAAAGTTATTGAGATTCCACTCAATTTTTAGTTCACGTGCTCTTTGCTGATGAGAAATATTCCATCTTTCACCGGCGTATTTGGTGAATGTTGACATTCTCCGGTGAAAGTTGACATTCTCCAATTTCGGTCTTTCACGGTAACACATATACTGAGTGAAAAGGGAATTTCCCCGCTTAGTTCGCAGTTAAAGAGAAAAATAAGAATTATAAAATATAGTCCAATCAAATGCGGCACTCCTTCTATCGACTTCGCGCAGCTGTTATGTAATCGTCTGTCTGCAGCATCTGTCTCCGACAATTACAATTAAAATATATTAAGTTTCACTGCAAATTGTGAAAAATGCAGTTCAAGTACATTTAGTGAAATCACAGACGAACTGGGGTGGATTTCAAGCTATGCATTTCTAATCAGATTAAAAACAATTAGAATAAGCAAAAGGAATACAAGCCAAAAAAGAATATGTAAAAAACAATACCAATGGAAATCATATTAAATTTTGCCAGAAATCTATGTAATTAAATGTAAAAATACCTTTTTATTTAAATTTCAAAATGAAATTATATTGGATATCTCAATTTATATATCACATCTTTGTATTGCTTCTATTACATATATTGTATAAATCACATTCTCTGTACACTTATTATACATATATACATTACATAGCATTAATTATGGCCTAGTAAACTGATATCTTTACAGACAACCATCAGTGTTAAAGACAGGCTCAATTTACATAAATTTCTTTTGATCTCTGCGGCAAATTACAAGAAAAAGGATACTGCTTTTAGTTTCAGAAATTTTTTGTTTTTTATCATATAAAATAGCATATAAGTACACTTTGGAACATCTAAAATCCTACGTTGAATTTTCTACCATACTGCTCAGCATGCAATGCCAACAAAATACCTCCTGATAACTTGCACGTCTCTGGCTGATCAAATCTTCATATCACAAAGTTTTACATTTTCCATGTTTATATCAGTTTGGCCAAATAAACATTCAAAAGTAGATGTTCACATTACATTAATGGAGTCATCAAGAATATATGTTCCAGCTCACGCTGAGAATCAGTTTACCTGTTCAGTTTAGTTTCAGGCTTTTTCCATTCTCAGGCTCAGAATTTTGTTAATGCAAACAAATGTTTAAAACTTTTAGGTACACTAAGTATCACCTTCAGACGAATGCTGAAAGAAAAAAATCCTTCTAATGAATTACATGCATAATTCGCTTGCTACATAAAAATCTAATTAATATTAACACTAATAACTTTTTATTGTATAATGTATTGATAAATTATAATGCACAGTTAAGCATTATAACTACATTAATTTTATTATAATTTAAATTATAATAAACTAATATTTAATTTTAATCTATTTATAAACAAAGTAAAACAAAATAAAAGGCAGATTTCAACAGGTTTGTACATTAATGTTGTCAGTTGTGTCTCGATTAATTTATTACCATAGTTAATTAGGTAAATATCTAAATATTTCTCATAAGCACTTTACCCGAAGTTTCTGAAAATATTTTATGCAGCTACATAAATTTCAATTTCGTCACGGTGTTCAGAAATCAATCGCCTCTGAATTTTCAAATTAGTTTCTGTACATAGTGGTTAATTTCGTTTTACTAACTGATTTGCTTGTAAATGGGCTCTAATTCATGAAGAAATAATAGAGAAGGGCTTCAAGAAAATAGGGATATCTTAATGGTCCATACAGTTCTGAAGATAACTGCATATGGGAAGGTGGACTGAAAGGTGATGAGCTGCAAGCTGAAGGAGACAACACAGACAGCAGCAGCAGCAGTATTACATGATTTGAGATCTAGAGACAGTATAGGACAACAATGAGAGACAGGATTCACAAAAGTAATGATGATATTTTATTAGATAAAATAATTAATTATTTTATTAGATAAAATAAAATATCACTATTAGTATTTAGTCTAACTCAAATGCAGGTTTTCTTTATTTTTTTAAATACAAAAAGCTCAGAGTTACTAATTTTTCCTTGCATCGGTTTCATTTGTTATTTTCTTACTCCAACTGCATCCTTTGTACTTAAATTACTTACAGAGTTTTCAATAGAAATAGTAAAGAGTAAAAAAATACATATGGCAAACCTATCTATCTAGAGAAAGCTAATTTAAAACATTTACATTTGACTGACACTGGGAAAATGAAAACCACATTCCATGAAATAATTAATTTGAAGTAACGAAAAAAAATTAAAATTCTGGAACCCTATATAAGCACTTGAGACTAGACTTTCCATTTACACAGAATTCTGTGTTTAATTAGTTCTTTTATGAATTTAAGACAAAAAATAATTAAACTAATAGTTTTAAGGTTGCTAAGAGAATTTTTAGGTTTAATTTGAATGTGCTAACATTTGTGGAACATTCTGATTCCACCCAGTTTTTGTCTGCCATTCTTTCCCCAAGTTTAAGATGCAAAAGACAATTGCGATTTTCAAAATTAGCAGCACACTAAACATTACCAAAACAACAACAAATTAACAATATTAAAAATGCAGGAAAAAAATTTTTTTTACGATTAAAATTAGGGTTTCTGCGCAAAACCAAGAAATTCGGCCAGCAGACAAAAAAGCAAATTTTGGGGTGCACAAAACTAAAAGTTTTCATTTGTTCCTACTTGTCAGAAAAACACTGAAAGTGTAGAAACTGACTTTATTTGTAATGGATGCTATACTGAGTCAATACATGAGAAAAATTAATAACTTAAATGATAATTTCAGAATGGATTAAGAATGATATAATTAGCAATAATAAAAGAAGAATTTAAGTTTGTTGTTGTTGAGGCTTAGTTTCTCTAGAATCACTATTCTGCTGTTTCCAAATATAAACAACTAAAGCTGTTATAGTAAATAAATTAAGCTTAAACAACTTTTAAATTGATGATAATTCTACAACTATAACATTGAACATTTATTATAATTCAAGCATTTTTAAAGCAAAAAAATGGACAATTTACCAACACATAAGAATAAAAAAAACTGAACTCAGAGTTAAGTAATAGGATGGATATATATATATAATTATATTTATATACTTTTGGTGCAGCCAATTTCCACCAAACAGGGAGGTGCACATCTACATGTAATAGCAGTCCCACATTCAAAATATCAACATGTGAGGCTATTCCTTTTAGTTATGCGAGATACACATATGTATGTACAGACGCCATGAAAAAAAACCTCTTCTGAATCCATTTTAAATCAGTTTTACAAGTTTTTCGGGGTGGGCGAAGAATCCATTATTCCGTTCTTACGTACAGATATCATGCAACAACATCATTATATTGCATTCGATAGTGGTCAGAATGGATATTTTCATTAAAATGTGGTACCCGGAATTTTTCGTGATTACAATATTTCCTTTACAAGGAAGTAAAAAATGTGCCTGCCAGCACATCAAACAAGTTCCCCTAATTCAGTGTATATACAAGTTTTTAATTATCTTGTATTATTAATGCTCGTTATTTACTAAAGAGAAAATGTTTCCTGCCACAGTTGAAAAAAGTGAACTGAAATTTTATGTAGCTTAATAGTTATGACAAATATATCTGTCTGAGAGAATTTCTACATACATACAGTAAAGCCAAACTATCGACTATTCAAGTAACTGGCATATTTCAGAAAATTTTTCCCTCGAAAAAATTTAGTGAGAGATTTGTAATGCCATAATAGAGCTATTAACACATATACACTGTCACCAAAGTGTGATTTACTCCAATAATTAATAAAGATGATGTCACAATGCAAACATAGTAAGTCTCTTTTGGTTTAATGTGCATTTGACTAATTCTTGAAAAGCTGGTTTAATTTTTGAAAAATGGATTAAGTTCCATATTTTCTTTCCATTTTCAAAAACTTCATGAATATCAGACTGCATGAAGTGCATTATTTTCAAAGCTACAACATGTGTTCATCAACAACATATTCAACTTTAAAAATAGGTAAAGAATGGCAATGCAATGTGAAAAATTCTAAATGATGTTAGCTTTTTACATGCATTATCCATAATTTGAGTCTCTGAATAATCTGCTTCTGCTGAAATGATTGGCAATGTCTCCTTAAACTTTCATGTTGAAAAGAGTTTCACAATCGGACAATATATTTTCTTTCATGCTGAAAGCCAACAGAGTCTGTAAGCTTTTATATCTTAAAAGTATTTTTCAGAATTTGATGGTTGTTATGTGTGTACAGGTTTGAAATGGACTGAATGCACTTACATCCAATGATGGTTTCCTGAAATTTATTTTCCCAACGAATAGATTTCTGGAAGTTTATGAGATAAAAATTAGTTGCCAAGACCAATGCCAGCTTGGCACTCATTAATTTGGTGAGACACCCATTTAATTCATAATTAATTAATTAAATTATTGTTAAATGTACTTATCACTATAACCTTGTTTTCCCAGCAAACTTTAACATTGTTGAGGCTTTTCATGTTACATTATGTATGACATACAATTCACATATAATTTCAATAAAAATATTTACATATATTCAAAATGTCTAAGAACATCATTTTAAAGTATGCTTCTGATATTCATGGTCCCATTTCTTGCATCCTCGTGTTTTCGTTTCTTTATGATTTACGACTTGACAGCAAATGATCAGCATTCGAAGGAGCATGAACCCAAACGTGACCACATACAGCTTCTCACTGTCAAGCAGACGAACAACTCGGCTGCCCGAAAATGGATGAAGACAGTCAAACAGCTTACTTAAACGAGATGTTCAGCAAGCAATTACTTTCAGAACATGTAAGTGCTGTAAAATACACTATATTACATAGATGTAAAAGTGTTGTCTTTTCATTTTATTTAATTAAAACGTCTTTTCTTCAAAAATAGTTTTTTTCCCTCCTATTTTTAACATACAGTACATTCAGTAATAATTTCACGTGTCCATAGACCCTTTCTTCGGAAAAAATACAATTATTCGAATGGGTTCCAGTCCCAAATTATTTGGATAATTGGAGTTCTACTGTACCTGCAAATTTCAAGTATCTGGAATTTAGCATTTTGTAATATTTCCAGGCGGTTAAGCTCTTACAGTATATCATGGCAATAAATATCTTGAAATTTAAAAATAACCATGCCAAAATTTAATTCTAATTATGGATATTAGAAAGTATTTTAAAAATAACATACTATGTAGTAACAGAAAAACATTTATTCAAGAAAAATATTTGATAGAATTAGGTACTGAGTTACACTTCTAGTGTACTGACAACAGCTAAAATAGCTTACTATATTGGCTAAGAACAAATGCAGTATGATAATTATTAAGGAATAGTTCATTTATGGAAATTTTCATTCCTGATCACTGTAGTCACAGGACAAATAACTGTACAGGACACTATATGATAAGATCTTTAAAAATAAATTTTTTGTAACTACCAAAAATATATGTAAGGTGCATATACATATATTATTTAGTTTTAAAAAATTTTTTAATCTGTGCAATTCTGCAAAATATTCAATAAATACATACCATTTTGTTCAAAAATGATAAAAAATCTAACTCTTCCTTACCAGTTTTCAGGCAGGGTATAAATATTAGCAAGTTAATATTTTGATTTTTGACTGCAAACTCTATAATACTGTTACTCGGTGCAACAACATCACTTAAAACACATTTTTCATGTGCACAATTTTTTTTCCATTGAAAAAGTAACAAAATATCTAGTCAAAAACTTCTCTACATTTGTTCTTTTCAGTAAACTGGCTTGCAAATAGTAGGCATAAACACGTGTATATAATTCCATCAACTTCTCTACATTTGTTCTTTTCAGTAAACTGGCTTGCAAATAGTAGGCATAAACACATGTATATAATTCCATCAAATGTTATTTCTTGTATTCAGCACATATAGCTATCAATTTATAAATGTAACTGTGAGGTAGGATAAATAAATCACTTATATCATTGCCTTGTAAATTATAATTTATATAAGATGTTCATATACAGTCAAAAGTCTTTAATCCGGACTCGTCGGGACTTCGACTCCGGATTATCGGTTTTGCCGGATTATTGATCATCAGTTTAAATCTGGTACGATGGCATGCAGAAATTATAAAATTAAAAATATGAAACCGTAATTTATGAAATAAAGAGCAATTATGATCTAAAGGGTATCAAAATTTACAAGAAAAAAAAAGCTTAATATTTCTTTGTTTAGTTTATTAAACATTTCTTTCAATGCGCATGCATAAAGCATACATTACGCATAGTCGAAATTAGAAAATTGCAACCAGAAAACTATTTGATGTGTATTCATGATATTCATAATGAGGAGGAATTTGATTTAAACCATATCAAAGGCGGAGTACATTAAGAAGAAATACTACATTTAGTAATGAATTATTACCCGAATAAAATAAAAACATCTCTCCTGGAGATAAGGATAGTACTGACAGATTAACTTCCAGTTCATTACGTGCTGCGACGTCCCAGGTCCACGTAGAGGCAGGTGCTACTGCTCGATTTATAGCACAATCGTATGGAATTACCACACGAAATGTGTATGATATACGGAACAATAAAGAAAAGTTGTTCAAATCTTACAGCAACAGTGATTTTAATACCGGAATCCGAAACAGGATATCTTTACATGAAGCGAAATCAGCAAACCTTGATGCTGTCTTGTACGAGTGTTTCCCGCAGTGGCGGTGTGATGGGGTACCTATTTCAGGCCTACTCCTGAAAAAAAAGGGAAAGCAGATTCATGCTGATTTAAAAATAGAAGAACCTATCGTAAATAAACAATATAATATCAGTTTATGTCTGTAATAATAATTTAATGCATATAATTAATAATTGAAATAATGTATATAATAATTTAATTAAATGTATCCAGTACGCCTTATTTATTTTGCACTTTTAGTCTGAATATTATCTTTTCTGTCCTGAAATGCGCAAAATCCTAAAATCCGCATAACCTCTGGTCCTAAGCTTTGAGGATTTCTGAACTTCTACTGTAGTTTGTGGGGACCAACGTATTATTTCGTATTAACCGATATTTCGTCCAATGCATTTTCACATTAAATGTATTTCACTGTATTATAAGAACTGTTGTGTAAAACACTTCTTAAAAACACTTAGAAAGTTACTGTTTGAAATATTTTACCTTACTTCTGAAAAGCTGAGTATATCTTAAACCATTGCTTGGAAAATATAAAAACTATTAGATCAATACCAAATAATTCAAGGAGGTGGTACTACTCTTTTGTTTATTAAAGTATAAATAAATAAAATTTAAAGCATGCATTCAAGATGCAATACAATAACAAAACTTTTTCCTTCGGTTTTGCATACAGCTAAAAATTGGAAAAAGGCCAGTTTTTTTATTTCAGAATACCTTGTATATTTTTCCTTCTTCAAATCTAAAATAGGTGTATTTTATATTCAGTGATACTCCGTAAACATGTCAATCCTTTCTTCTCGAAAGATAATAATTTTTACTTAAATAAACAACTGGTTCATGTAAAAAAAACATTTTTCGAGTAATTATGCTCAAATTATTGCTTTTCTGAATTAAACAGCGAGCCTAAGTGTAACATAATATGTAACTGCACTTACCTTTTTTATGTAGAATTGAATAACAACAAGCAGTCACAAAACAAACAAAAAAAAAAAAAAAGAGAGAGAGAAAAGATTAATGTTGCACAAATTACTACCATTGGAACAATAGACACAAGATAATGACTAAGCAATTTGCCGATTGAGTCTATGGCGCCCGCCTGTACTCTTACATATGCATCGGCATCACATATTTTCGTTCATGTAGATTTACAAGATCAGTTTAACTTATATGTTAAAAACTGTAAAAAGCACTATCTGATACAAATCAAAGCGATATAAATATCTATGGATCTTAAGCATGAACTACAGTTTTTGCAACAATTTGCAGGAAATATAGCATTGCCGGTTGAAACTCTAATGTTGTCAACAATATAGTGGCATGCAAAAGCGTATTTTGGATATATCTCTAGATATCAAACCTAGAGCATTTTTTGTACCTTTTTGTAATCATAGTTTGAACCTTTTCGTTCGCAGCATAAACAATGCTGCGAACAACAGTTTATTGAGTGCAAACTTATTAGGTATCTAAATTAATGTTTTTAATAATTTTAAGATAATAAAATTAGTATTCAGCTATATATTTGATATCCAATTTCACTTCGCTTGCAGTGTTACGTTTTTATAACAGGCTGTTGTTGTTGACTAATGCTCACTTGTCTGACCTACAGTCACCCCAAGGTCTATGAAATTCCTCGTGGCAAGGAGCGCAAGATACGCCTGTTGTTGGCAACAGCCTTCAGCACCTTACAGGTGACAGTGCGCTAAAGCTCAGTTTCCACCCCAATTTTGATGACAGCATCCAGGGGGATGTGTCCGACCGTCTCCCACCCCTCTTTTCCTACCACCAATCTTTCGATAAGACTTTTGCCTCGCATATTTAGAGTACCCCATGGTGCAAGGATACTATACATTTACAAACATGCATGCCTTCTCCGAAATTCGAACCCGAGCCCTTTAGCACCGCAGTCAGCAACGCTAACCACTATACCAGTTGGGCGGCTTTTTATAACATAAATGTACATATAATTCTTCAATAAATATGTTTGAGTGTGGGTTTTGGCAAAGCACAAAATGTTTGCACATTCATCTGTGTTTTACTATATAATCAATAATGTCTGATTATACACACAGGAAAGCCTTAACAAACTGCTGATGAGGTAATGCAGCATGTTGCCAAAATTTTTTTATGTGGCAATCCAGATATGCATGTAGCATCTGCCTGAAATGGCTGTCTAGAAAATTTTGCCACTCATACTACAAAACTTCCTCCTATAGGAATTTCAATGTTTTGCTGAGCAAATGACAAAAGCTGCAGGTCTTTGGTGAAATATCAGACTTTGTTTTCTGCTGTCACAAAGCATGTTGTGGCTTGCTTAAAGCCATTATCATTCACGTCGTTCCGTCCTATTTTAGAATTTGAATACAAGGTTTGTTCACTTTTCAATTTTTTTTTTTTTTTTTTTTTTTTTTTTTTTTTTTGTAAACAGATTGCTGTACATAACAAGCAACATAGTACAACAGTACAAAGCACCAAGAAGTATCCGAGTATTACATGGAAAAGAAGAATAAAATAAAACAGTAAGAGTCAAAGTAGCATTTAAATAGATATAACGATTTCCGAACCGATGTCTGTCTCCAAACTCGACAATGATTATTATGAATTATCTTCAAAGTTACCAACGAGCTCATAACTTTTTAGTGGGGATGCAGATAAGAAGAAACTACCACAGGAAAGAAATGAAAAGAAATGTTTAACAAAGTAAATTTCATTTTGATGACAATGACCCAATCATTAAAAATGGACGGCAAAATCTGTAGTATGGTTCTAGATCCAGAAAATAACGCAACCAATAGTGAAAAAGTTGAGAGAGTGGTTTTTGAAAATAAAAAAATTTGGATTGGCAAGTTAGTTGGAATTCTTGACACCGCAATTACAAGACTTGAACAAGGAACCTTTGTAACTGAACAAAATATTATGTCTGTGTACCGAATTAAAGAGAAAGTATTAACACTAAAACCGAAGCAACTTACATTCAAAGAAATGTTTGGCTAATCTTTGGAATATGGTAACAGTTAGTTTGGCGAGATTTTGGTAAGGTGATAAAGGTTGCAGCTAGGACTTTAGCAATGTACCTGGATAAAGTCAAGAGTGTGCACAATGCCATTTTTGTGCAATTCTGGGATTTTTTTAAGTGAAAATAGGTCGACGTATACATGGATGATCCCGTGTATGTACAATTCTTAAAATGCGGCAAGCAGTGGGCGATTCTGCACTTTCTCCCAATTTCTAACCTAATCTTCGTCATGATTAAGCACTTTTGTTCCATAAAAGTTCTAGCATAAGCGTAATTCGGTTAGCAGATTCTTGGAAAAAAATGTTGAGTAAAAAAAAAAAAAAAAATGCCTTTACTTGGTGAAAAGAAAATGGCATCCAAATAAAAACTAGCAATCCCAGAATTGAACAAAAATGGCACTGCGCACACTCTTGACTTTATCCATGTACACTGCTAAAGTCGTAGCAAGTAACCTTTATTGCCTTACCAAAATGTCGCCAAACTACCTGTTTACCATATTCCAACGATTAGCCGTATTTACAGCAAGCAGTAAGGAATATTTTCATGATACTTTTGAAAAATGACAAATCAAATGCTTCAGATAAATCGTGTCTGTATTTATAACTAAATAATTGTATCTTAATTTATGCATATAAATTTGCACAAAATGCTGAACTAGTCTGTAGGTATGTTACATTCAGTTATAGAGAATATCATGAAAAACGTATTATGTACGAGCGACAATACACTTACATGGATAAATTTTAAAACGTACTGACTAAATATTAAAATATCTAAGCATAAGGTGTCAAATTAAGAAAAAAACTGAATTATTTAATTATCAAAGCATTTGCAAAATCTCCTCCCATACTTTCATTAACACATATATTTATTAGCATTGGGGATAAAAACATTTAAATTATAAAATTTGAGATATTTATATTAAAAAAATTCTAAAATTTTTAATATACATATCTAAATTTTAGAATATTTTAATAAAATTTTAGAATTCTTGGAAGCACTTCTGCAAAGGATCCGTTAAATGTAGGAAGCGCAACAAATCCTTTGCAGAAGAAAACCCGCAATCTTTTTATTACGTATTTCACCCTTAAGACAGTAAAAAAAAAAAAAATAAATTAAAAAAAGATTGTATGGTTATAATTTAAAAAAAAAAGGGGGGTACTTACGTATTATCGAAACCAGGTTGGGCGATTTGTAAGTTTGGTAAAAAAAGTATGAATAGAAAGAAAATGATTATTAATTACAGATAATTTAATACAGTTTTTATATTTTTTTTTAAAATATAAAATGCAATTAAACCCTTCGGTTTGAATTTGAATAAGTGCAGAATTATTTTTTCGGCGGAAATCTTTGGCTTTGCTTTTAGCATGATTGGAAAACCGTCTTTGCCATGTAATTATTCCAATTATAACAGTTTTGTCAGCAATTCCATTCTTCTGCACAAAAATTAATTGAGATTAACTCTTTACACAACAATAATGAAGCGCACCGCTGTCACAAATGAAATTCAGCTGCCTTCAACCAATTTCCGGTTCTTACACCCAAATGGTGATTGCACTCTTCGACTTACATTCCAGAAGATTTGCTTTCAAAATACAGTTTCATTTTATGAACATTTTACAAGTACGTTCGTTCGGTATAATTCCATATCCCTGCAAAAAAATTCAACAGCATCTTTTTCACTCGCAGGCAGATCCCAAATACCAGTTAAAGATTTAGGGCACTCAATCTAACCGTAAGAAAAATAATTTCTTACGAAAAAACTATAGAAATGTAGGGTGCCGTAAGTAGGTCGCCAAATTTGGCAATTTATGCGAATTTTGGCTGGTTGCGTTAATACGTAAGTACCAAAAAGGTATATTAAATTAAAAAAAAAACAGGTATGTACAACGTGTTATCATAAATTCATGAAATAAATATTACCGGCAAATTCTATGAGTAAAATTTAATCTGGCAATTTTATGAAATCTTGACATACAAACCTGTGTGGATCTAAAAAATTGTGTTGATCTTTAAATATGGTAACTGGTAATTTGGCGACAGTGGAGGTGATAAATGTTATACTGGGATTGGTATAATGTGAGCAGTACTCAGTTCGATTACGCTTATTTTGTGTGAGGGAAAAGAGATCAGGGAATACATGTGATATAAGGACAATTACGGTTCTTAATCGAAAAAGGGGTGAATTCGGGAAAAAATCTAGAAATTTGTATTTGGTATTCTGTGTGGTGTGAAACAGTGTTCGTGATTTTGGATCCCAGGGCCGAAACTAAAGAAAGTTATGGACTAAAAGAAACTAAACAAAAAAACTAAAAAAAAAACTACACAGTAATCAGTTCTGAAGAAGATAGGGGTAAGTAGTTTTTTAATTATTGAGGATATTTTTATATCATGTTCTAAATGTAAGTGGAAGTAAAGGAATTTGGTATTATGGAAATGTTATTAGCAATGATTAGTTTAAAGTACTTAGGATTGTACGGTATTTTTATTAATTATGTATGTGCTCATTTATTTTAAGTAGGTTTTGAATTAATTATATTTTAATTAAAGATAGTTATTTGTGAATTTTGTTTGTAGGAATTTCGTATGACGTCAGTTGAAGTAAACGTGCTGGAAATATTTAAATATGACACTAAGTATTTGTAATGGTTGGGTATGAATCGTTGGTGACGTTTATAATATAATAGATGATTTAGAGGTAAAAGTTTTGGATATTAATTTATTTATCTGTGGAAATGTTCATATTTGGAAGGGTAAAACTTTTTCGCGATCAGGTAATTTCTATATGTTCTTTTTAGGGTTAAAAGATGAGAAAATGTCATTTTTTCGTGAAATTTTCTAATTTATGAGAAAAAAAAAGTGTCATGGATAGTGAAGAGTGTGCGCAAGCCATTTTGTGCAATTCTGGGAGTTTTTTTAAGTAAAAATAAGTCGACGTGTAATGGTAGTGATATTTAATTAAATGATAGTTAGTTTGTGAATTTTATGTTTGTAGAATTTGGTATATGTTAAGATGAAGTAAACGTGCATGGAAATAATTAATTTTTGATACTAAGTATTGTAATGCTTGCGGCTATGAATTCGTTGGTGAGTGTATAATGTAATAGATGATAGAGTAAAAGTTTTTGGATATTTAATTTCTTTTATATGTGAAATTTCATATTTGGAAAGGGTAATACTTTTTCCATCAGGTAATTTATATAGTTTTTTTACCGGGTTAAGAGAGAAAAATGTCATTATTTTCGTGAAATTTTTCTAATTATGAGAAAAAAAGCAGGTACGGAATAGTGAGAGAGTGCGCAATCATTTGTGGCAATCTGGGATGTTTTTAAGTAAAAAATAAGTGACGTTTTTGTAACAGGTTTTGATATTTTAATTAAATGATAGTATTTGTGAATTTTTGTTTGTAGGAATTTGGATATGTTTAAGATGAAGTAAAACGTGCATGGAAATAATAAATATTTGATACTAAGTATTTGTAAGGCTTGCGGTATGAATTCGTTGGGAATTATAATGTAATAGATGATTTAGAGGTTAAAAAGTTTTGGATATTTATTTATTATGTAGAAATGTTCATATTTGGAAAGGGTAAATATTTTTCAAATCAGGTAATTTCATATATGTTCTTTTTACGGGTTTAAAGATTGAGAAAAATTGTCATATTTTCGTGAAATTTTTCTAATTTATGAGAAAAAAGCAGTATGGATATAGTGAAGAGTGTGCGCAATGCATTTTTGTGCAATTCTGGGATGTTTTTTTAAGAAAAATAGTCGACGTGTACATGGGTAGTGATATTTAATAATGATAGTTTTTGTGAATTTATGTGTAGGAATTGGTATACGTTTAAGATGAAGTAAACGTGCATGGAAATAATTTAAATATTTGATACTAGTTGAATGCTTGCGGTATGAATTCGTTGGGACTGTATAATGTAATAGATGATTTAGAGGTAAAGTTTTGGATATTATTTATTTTATATGTGGAAATGTTCATATTTGGAAAGGGTAAATACTTTTTCACAATCAGGTAATTTCATTAGGTTTGCGGGTTTAAAGATTGAGAAAATTGTCATGTATTTGTGAAATTTTCTAATTTATGAGAAAAAGCAGTGTACATGGATATAGTGCAGAGTGTGCGCAATGCCATTTTTGTGCAATTCTGGAGTTTTAAGTAAAAATAAGTCGCGTGTACAGGATTTATGCGTATGTTATTTTGAAAAACGGTAAGGAGTATGGTATTGTGCCTTTTTCCCAATTTTGCAGGAATATTTGTCATGATTAAGCAGTTTTGAGATAAAATTCTAGCATAAGTTAATTCGGCTAGTAGAGTGGGAAGAGTGTCATAGATAAAAGAAAAGACCATGTCTTACTTCGTGAAGACAAAATAGCGGGGAAAAAAAAAAAAATAAGAGTGTTGTGTAGGAGAGTTGCGCCAAATTTTCGCCCAAAAAAAAAAAACGCCAAGTTACCATAATGAAAGATCAACCAAATTTTTCCTTGAATTAAAACCATAAACCATTGGACCCAAGAGCAAAATATTGCTGTTCTTTTCAGTTCAATATTATTATGGGTTACCATATGAGACAATTTGGTTATGATTAAGATACTTATGAAACATTCAATGACTTTTGAATTCTGTCAAAGTTTGAAGTGTGAAACAAACTTTCCGTTTTCTTTTGTCATAGATTTCTGGCTTTTCTCGCAGAGAAACCGGTTGGGACCGCCATTGCATTTTATCGCCAAGCTTGCGGGTATCGCGATGAGCCGAGCCGCAAAGTGATATTTATAAACGTGATTTTTAGTGCAGTAAATCAATGAGAAGAACAAAACATATATGAAGCATATGGTAGTAAAAATGCACAGATATAAGCATGAGATGTAAAACAACTTGTTTAAACGGGGATTACGAAAATTGTATTAGATTAATGTTAGCACAGAAGAATATGAAAGTATAAGACAATATATAAGCATTTATAACGGAAATAAAAATTCATTTGAAAATAAAATAGTATAATGTACGGAAATAACCTGTTTTTAAAACGTGATATAAAGAAAAAAATTGGTCTTAAATTCCAGTTAACACAGGAAAAAAAATATTCCTTACCACCAGAATGGTTGCTAATTTTGATGACCATGGTGATGCATTCAAACTATTCTGTCATCGTAGATAATCAATAATCTTTTTTAGTTTCAATTTTAATATTCTATTTATTGCACACCATACCATCCTCTGAAAGGGTATTGTTAGAAAACCAATAACAAATCTATCGTGTATATTTTACGCAGAAAATTGATTATTCTCATATAATTTAATGACAATCACAATAATAAAAATAAAAGCAGTACTTAGTTATTTAAATTGCGGTCTTAAGAGCTGTTAATAATGAAGAACACTAAGTGAACAGCCGTGTTACAAATTAGCATTCACCCCTCCCGCCGTATTTTTCTTTCCTTCATCCCGAACGAGACGGCATCTATCTACGAAATATTTCCATCTATTTGGTGTAAAAACATTCAGAAAAATAATAATAAATAAGAGAAGGAATTAATACCAATCTGCAAATGCGAACAAACGACAGTGATAATTCAAAAAATGAATGCAAGAGGAAGGGCGCGGTGGGGGGGCGGGGGGGGCTTGCAAAAAATTCGAACAAGCGAATAGGATAAATCGCTGGACTACCAGGTTGACTATGATCGCAAAGTAGCGGTTTACATTTACCGGGTTCTCTGTGGAAAGTGCTTCAAAAAGTGTGTTTTTTGCAAATTAAGGAAGCACTTCCGCAGAAACCGGTAAATGAAAACATCGCCAAACTTGGCGATATAGTTCAAACCTAGTAACCTTTCGGATTCATCCTATTCACTTGTTGAAGGTTGCAACCATCTCTTGCGTCATTTTGTTGAATTGTCACTGCCATTGTTCAATTTGGAAATTTATTCTTCTCTATTATTATTATGTTTTCTGATTTTCCACGTTATTTTTAACAACGAATAGATAGAAATATTTTCGGATAATTAAGAAGTTTCGTTAGATAGATGCGGTTCTCGAATCAATTTTAATGGCTTAAAAATTTAAAAAGATACTATACTGTTAATGCTTTTCTAACATAACCTTTCTGAGGATGGCAGGTGTGACACAAATAGCTGATTAAGTTGAAATAAAAAATTATTGATAATCTAAGATGACAGAGAGTTTGATGCATCCCCATGGTCATCAAAATTAGCAAACCATGCTGGCGTAAGGAATAAGTTTCAAAGGCTCTTGAAATAATAAAATGTATAAAGTTCTAGTTTATAACAATTTACTGAAGAAATTTGATACTGTTGAAGGTTATTTGTATTGTGAAAATAGTACGAAAAAGACAGGTTTATTTTCGTATATCACGTTTAACCGGTTAGTTTTACATCTACATGCTTATCATTGTGAATTTTTACTACCTATGCTTATATATGCTTTGTCTGCTAACTTCAATTTCATGCACTAAAAATCGCGTTTCCGGCTCGGCTCACCCTTGGCGAGTAAAAATTGCAATGGCGCCAATGGGTTCTTTCCCGAAGCGCCAACGGGTTCTTGTGGATGAAACTCCAAATTAAAAATTAAATTTCTTTGATCACTGGATAAAACATAGACTAGCTTTTAAACAAATACCTATCAAATTTGAGTTCTTACCTGCTTAAAAACAATATTCCCGTAGTGAATTCCCCTAAATTTTCTTAGGGCTTCTCTCATCAGGTTGCTTCATTTGGTACATCCAGGACTGACTGAATATATTTGGCAGTTTCTATTTGATGCATGTCTGGATTGACTATGGAACTCAGTTCCTATGTTATACCACTATCTGGCTTTGTGAATGTTATAATGACGCATTTGATATTGAAGCTCGATAATAATACTGAGAATAATATTTGCTAATAATACCTCTAAGGTAAAAATGATGTAAAAAAGGAATTATGTATTTAACTGCAGGTCTTAGTATTTCATAATAAAACCATGTGGATGAAAATTTAGCCATTCTTTCGAATGCAGTATCAGAAGTATATCAAAGCAAACATATGATGAACAAAATGCATTTTGGTAGGTCACAGACGTAACACTGAAACACGAATTATACAAAAACTGTGAAAATTAGAATCCAGTATCAAGGACTCAAATTTTGAAAAAGGGAAATGCAAAAAACACATTCTGAATAAGATTCTCATCAGTTTGTATAAACAGCTTTAGACCCTTTTAGGACAAGATAGTAGCAAAGTTAGCTTTAACTTAGATTATTTAAAAACACTTGATATCTACAAAAAAAGGTTTTTGTTTTGTTTTTGTTTTTTGGAAGGAAATAATGGTTTATTCCTTATTTGTATCAAATGACAATTTACAAACAGCCACAGGGTCAGTACTTTTATATCACACTTATAATGCCTTATATCTAAGTCTGCTACTAAATGAATCTCTAAATTGCAAGAATTTTGTACACTAATATGACATCTGTTAAAACTAACTTCAACCAAAAAATGAGTCGGTTTGCTGCTGGACAAATCATTACTGCATTGATAATTAAAGCCTGGTACTAATTTAACATCTCAAAAGGCAGGTTCTTTGTTGTGTAGGCCAACATATAAGTCTTCAAATTATTCTACTATCCACAGGAATTGTTACATACATCCATGAGAGTTTTCTGTTCAGTGGAATGCATATTTTACTCATCATTTACTAAAAATGAATTTTCACATACCTCATATACAAGTTTTCTCTGCTGTGTGATATGCATCGCCTGTTCTATTTACCCTTATTCTTCTTTACTCTAATTCTCACAAGGATTTTCTACAGGAGGATTTTCTCCTGTGTGAATGAGCATATGATTGGTTAAAAGTAATCTTGTGTCTAAATGACTTCCTACATACTTCACA